CTATCTATCTATCTATCTATCTATCTATCTATCTATCTATCTATCTAGAATTTTGCAACAATGTTCAGAGAACATTTCTTCTGTTCCAACTGCACAAAGTGCATCCCCTACTCTTTAAAATGTTATTGTGTGTATTCCTTTGCATAATACACGTTGTATGTGGTCCCTTTGTTCATTTGAGGAAAGAAACAAAGGAAGAAAGTTTAGTTGCATTCATTTAATGTCATCTTACCCTGTTCTCAAATATCAAGGAGTCTTCTTTAACCCCTTTAATTCTCCACTTTTGCCTTGTTTTTGCTGCTTCCCGACTCTCTTCTATAAAAGTAGAGGGATGAGAGGAGGAGAAACTTGTGGCCTTTTCTATTGTTTGCCAGTCATGTCCCTCTTCCAGCCAGGGCTGACAGATGAGGGGGAAGGAGTCTTAGGCCTTTGAAAAGTGATTAATAATGACACTGGAGAAGGGCCCCGATCGGTTGGGCTGTTTGTTTTGATTGCATTTTCATCGGTCGGTGTGCCCAACCTGCCAAGAGACAATGGCCGTCCCTGTTTAGAGCTGACCTCTGGCCCTGTCTCGTCTGGAGGCGCTGCGCTGTGTTTGAGTGGATGCTGAACAGCCTTTGCCTCAGGCTACCTGAAAAACTCTCTAAGTAAGGAGACACCCATGAGCAGACAAACAGCAGCCAGAGAAGGGGACACAAAAAAAAAAAAAACTGCCTGGTGCCATTTTAGCATAATGAATCTACAACATATATCAAAGGCTGATAGATTTGTGGGGTATTTTAAAAATGACCCTTGAAAATTAAACTTAAATGTCATTATTTTGTGCATGTGTGCAACAATGATTTAATGTTTGTTGAATACAATCAGAATCGATTTTAGAATGTTATAGCTTTCTTCTTGCTACTGTAATAATCCGAATTAACCGTTATTCAATTAAATGATCAAAATAGTGATAAGAGAGAGGCAGATGAAAGTGGAAACTCTGTACATGAACCTAATTTTAGCAGTTCAAAACTGGACAAAACGATTTCACTTCATAATTCATTCAATATGTATAGGCTTATTATTTGTCTGTACACACCAAACCTGATGTACAAGTTAAGTGATTATTGTTAGGACCAAATTCAACAGGCGTTGTTCCTAAACAAGTTGATGAAGTGTCAGTTGAACAAGTTTGACTAAATGGCTTGAGAATTATAAACAGAATGACATGGAATTAAACTCAGTTGGAGGCACATGGCCACACCTCTATCTTCCCGCCTCATAGTTTCTCTGCTTGAAATCAATCCTTTTTTAAAATATTTTTAAGTTTTCCTCCATACCAAACCAGTCAAATTGTCTATAATTTATATTTACACTGTAATTTCAATTCTTAAAAAATAAATAAATAAATAACTACTACCATCTTTACAAGCTTAAAACTTGGATGCCATAACAGTCAATAAGGGTCTATATGACAACCACACTCAGAGAGCATTCAACAAATACTGATACATTATTGTTATTGTATTTCAAATTTATTGAGCCATTCCAAAGTAATTTACAGAAGTCATGCAAAAGCAGGGCAAAATCTAACCAAGATTAGTCTGGGGGACTATTTCTCAAAGTGTCTGAATTGACTAAAAAGGAAATATGTACCCTTTACTGATGGCTAAAGCCAGTTTACCAACCTTTGAGTGTAACTAAATAAGTGTATGTAAGTCATTTATAATAACTTTTTCTTGATACTGTGAAATCTTGATCCACCAAACGGGTTGTTATTCAGGACAAAAAATGCCCATATGCTTGATAATATTCAGGATTTTCTTTATTTTTTATTGTATTTTGTAAAAAAAACATCTGAAAGTAATGGTTCAAATTGAGCATTCAAAAGGACTAGCAGGCTTAATCTATGGCATTCCACCCATAGTTGTCTTATAGGCACTGCAACCTAAACTCGTCTCTTGAAACTCTACAGTCCCCCGGTGTGCGTCTTCTGCATGAGTTGAATAATTGACTTCATTAGATATGCCTGTGTTTGCAAGTCAGGTATTAATATCATTCATCGCACTGCGTTGGGGAATTCCAAAACCTAAAATAGTTGCCAGCTTCAGATTTTGGCCGCCCCGATCAACCCACCTCTCCAGCTCCTCCAGCTGTACGCATACCAGAAGTTGTGGCCGCGCTATCGTATAGACGGTGGGGGGAATTCCGGCTGTCTCAGACTGCAGCGTGCGCCACTTCACGGGGGGAACAATGGCGGGCTGAGCTCGGGAGCAGGTGTAAAGTTTCAAGGGAGCAGGTCAAAGTGCCTCTGTCTGAATGGCGCATAATCGCCATTATGTGTAGTACAAATATTCCGCATTATGCAGGTTGACTTCTTCACAATGGAAGTGCTCCTCATGAATGGCTGCCAGCAGGACTCCTCCCCTCTTTGCCCCTCCACTGTTTGGGTGGCCGAATCCCTCCCCCTTGCACATCAAACCGTCACGCTTTGCTGACCTTTATGCTCGATGTTTTAAAGATTAGGTTTTAATGTTTAAAGCTTCTAGAACTTTTTTCGGATCTTGACAGATTGATGATGTTATTTTGCAGACTCAGGGACGCTTCCTCTCGCTTATCCTGGAGAGAAAGCTCATTTCTCACCTCCATGACCCAGAATCAGTCAGCACAGACATCTGACTTCTTCAGCCAAGATGTGTTCAACCAGTTGTTTGACATGTTGGACCAGTAAGTGTATATTGGGAAGGGGAAAGGGGACGGTGGCTGATCAGACATTTTTATCATTGAAAAAATGCCTGGAAGCTATTTTTCAGTGTTGTCCGTGTGGTTTCAGATCTGCCATTCATGCAGTCCAGCCCATCGAGCTCAACTTTACGGACAGCCCGACTGATGGGTCAGCGGGAAATACCATTCAGATCAGCATGGACTGCATCACCATGCACGAGCCAGACGAGGTGGTTTCTGTAAGTATGTCCGTTTCACCAAACACCAGTTTCGGTTTCAGTCTGTTTCTCCCTCATCGATACCCACCACCTCTAATTTCAATACTAAATGTGCCCTGCGACCAGTAAGTAGTAGTACTATTTCGTACTAAAATCCTTGATTTTATATGGTGCTAAATCCAAAGCCGTCCGTGTACTTGTTTTTTCATTTTGTCACAAAACACAAAGTTTCTTTTAGCTTGTCTTTCCTAACTTGCATACAGGACAACACATTTTTAGTTCCTCTTACAATCACTTTCAGTCTGAATTGACAAGGGACTTTTGACGATGCCACGGAATTTTTCCCAAATCAGATCTACTTTCGGTTGCATATTTCCACCTGGAAGAGTTTTCCCCGGGTGGTTGTGAAAATGTGGCATAGAGGCCGCTTTATCTCTCCTCCCGTTGAAGATTGTTGTCTGTTATGGGGATGATGCTATCTCAGTTGAGCCGAGCTGCGCTTGACCTGGGTGGTCAAGAGTGTTGACGGTAGAGTTGGCGTTCAGATTATCAAATGATGCTAACCCTGTTTTGGCAGAAAAATGAGTAAAAAATTATAAAATGACTTTGTGTTTGGCCAGATTTGGAGAGAGAGATGATACCCAGCTTTGCAAGTCCTGATGATTGTTGCACAATTGATGCTCTAAGGTTTGTTACTAGCAAGAAATCTTCTATCCATCAGGTATAGTTTGACTGAGGAAAAACTACTAGAAAACTACTGAACATAAGTTGTGCTGCGAACTTAAACGTGTGTACGGGCTCATTTGTGTTTGACCCATAGTGAGGGGCACATCCTCGACTCGACCTCAGCTCTCCCCTCCCCTCCCTGTGCAGGAATGCCGTTGTCCAGCCAGGGAGAGAAAATAGCAAATAAAAATTTTGTTTGAGGACCTTAGTAACGCTACCCTGCGCTTCCCCCCGAGGGGGGCTGTGCTCTCTTGAACCGGTCATTAATGGTGCAAACCCCCCCCACCTCCGACTTTCCACTGCTAACCCTAACCCAAAGAGGGGGGTGGCTTGATGACTGGAACATCATCTATGAGGGGCTAAGAGCTCGCTGCCATGGTGACGAGCCAGTCATCAAGCTTAACCCTAAAATTAAGAGCGCAAAACCAACCAACATCTCTTTGACCAGTGTTTAGTTTTGCCCATAGCTGTTCGGTACCCCATGGGTACTTATTGGTACTTATCATGTTTAATGATAAATTTTGTTTCAGATTTTTCTGTCTTTCTTTAGCTGCAGGGCAACAAGTTAATGCAGCACCTGCTTCTCTGGCGAAAGGTTCCAGCTCTCATCTATCAGTACGTGTCTTCTCTAGGTAAAGGTGGGGGTTGCAGCGAGAGGGAAGCCGTGGAGAAAGAGGAGGGTAGAATAACACCCAGGAATGTAAGCGGGGAATAGTGGCTTGGAGAAACGCTATATCCCACCCCAAACAGCTGATTTTACGCCGAGATAAAAAAGCCCAGATCAGCTGTGCTTGGACAGTTTTTGAAGCTGAAAGGCCGAGGTCCTCTTCAGTCACAGGAAGAAGGAAGCTCAGCGCGGAGTAGCTCAATCGACACATGGCTCCTCAGAGATCTAATTACATGTTTTTGTTGGGTTTCATTCTTTTCCAACTTACGACTCCGGCCTGCACCTATGGTTAAAAGTTCCAGAGCCACGATCTTAAATGATTCTATCAGGACCTGTTTCTTTGTATGACGTTCACGAAAACAGCTATGATACATGGACTTCTCAAGGTTTAACTCTCGGCATGACTAGTTAGCTTGTTTTTTTTTTTAAGTGGAACATCACACAGTGAGTCCCAGTCATGGTCCAGATGAAGTGTTGAGTTAGAGTCAGGAGAGCCATAATAAGTGGGGGAAGGGGGTAAGAGTCTTCCCTCAAGGAAACTTTAAAGGTCAGACTTTTTTCTCTTTTTTTCCCAGTTTCTACCTTAGAGGCCCTCCGTTTCCTTTAGATGACAGTTTAGATATTTTGGAGAAAAGCTCTATTGCTTTTGATTTATTTTATTTTATTTATCAATGTCCCTCTTCCACGTTGTGTTGTGTTGAGGTTAGCAGCTTTTTCTTGTGAATGGATGACAACAAAGTAGAGCCGATTGTAAGGATTTAAGGATTTACCACCCAAGTGATGCTCCCCGCTGCACCGTGGGCTGCCTGCATCTGTCGGGGTGGAGGGGAACCGTGTGTGTTTTTAGGTCAGGTGCCTGTGCCCTCCCAGCCGCTGCCGCCTGACACCTGATACTAAACTAATCTGGCAGACTTTAGGGACGGACTCTTAAAAAGGAAAAAACTTAAGACAAGCTTCTTTAGTCTGAGACTCTGTATCTGGGGCTTATCTTCCCCTTTTTGGAGGTAAATCAGTTAATAGGCACAGAGAACTATCATTCAGAGTGTGGTTTAGGGGGAGAGGCTTCTCAGTTTTTATTTTTTAGCATGTTTTTTATTAACTTTGATTTATATCAGAGCCTGAAGCGTATCCTTTGTGCAGAAAATAATTTTACTTTGGAGTTTTAACATTAATTTCTGACTTAGATTATATCATTTGACTTTATACAAGAAAACTTCTTTATGTCATTGATTTACTTAAATAACATTCATATAATCATGGTTGTTTACTCCTGTTCCTCTCGGCAACTGCTACTGTAGTCTATTTCTTCAAGTACCCTAACTTCCTTTGGAGCGGGAGTGCTGTTTTAACATAATTAGAAGTTTGTTTAACTAAACTAATTATCGCCCTGAAAAGGCCCCGCTCAGTCACGGACATTGGGAGGTCACGGGACTGGGTCCTTTTCGTGTTGGTTTGCCTTTTGTGGCAGGCTGACCTGCAGCCAGCAGCCCCCGACCCTGAACAGGGTGTGGCTGGAGACACTGAATCCACATCATGGCTGTGCTTGAGTTTTCTGACCACAGGGCAACGGTTTAACCTTTCAGTGATCTTCTCCCTCACTGTTTCTGCATTTTGGCCTATTGTTTATTTTATATTTTTATCAGACATATAAATATTCTAACAGACTTCCACATATGTGAGTTTGCAAACCACAGCTTTTTTATTGAATAAATAACCATCTGTGACACTTTAAGGATCATGCTCAATTAGATTTGATTTCATTATAGGTCCAATTTCTTGAAAAAAACTAACTTATAAGTAAATATAAAAACAATAACTGTAAATAATAGTTTTAGTTTTTTACTCACAGCTAATTTTGAATTTAATTTCCGGTAGCGCGTTTCACATTTTGAGTATTAAATGTTTAGGGCCTAAATCAGTTCCCATGAGATCATTTTCCCCGGAGCTATCACAGCTACAGGAAAAGTAGCCACCACCGTCTCAGCCTCTGAGAAACAATGGATGTTTCCAAAACAAATCAACAGCAGTCATCTCTAGTAGATACAAGCAATCTACAGGAGTCATATTGTGTTTTTTTGGGGCTCTCCTCTTTCCCGCTGATTACAGTATGCAGGGGGGAGCTGTTCTAATGCAAAGTAGGTCTGCTGTCCCGGCTGCAAACTCTCACTCTGCAGCCGGCAGGCCTGATGGCTCTTTTTTTGTCACGTTAAAGTTTTTTTTCCCCTTAATACATGCAAAATTCAACTTTATCAGCTACCCTGGTAAAACCTCACACGATGCATTTTTGATTGGCTCGATTTGGTTTATGAAATGCATTTAATGGTGTTATTCAGATATATGAGGAGACAAAAATACTTATTTTAACCATCCATGTGGATTTTTAAAAAAAAATGTTTCATTAATTTTCTTTTTGACTATCAGAAAGATGAGAAAGATTCGAATCCCAGCGTACGAGAGGCAACAATTTGCAGCCAAACAAAAACATGAGCACCAAGTAGATAAAGTAAGTTGTGTCCCACAGAATGCAAATGTTAAGGAGAGGGTGCTTCTTCTGCAGAATGGGTGTGGACTCAAGGATTGGAAAGGTAGCTCCTTAGACCCCTCCCATCCTTTCAGGTATATATGAAGTTCCCCATAAATTCCTATAGAGGCTTCTGCTTGTCCACTTTGCATCTGTAGTCCACATCACTCCTTTTTGAGTGAGGAAAAGAGATTTGTGGAATCCTGGAGCCAGTGGAACAAACAGCAGCAGCTCTGCTCAATCTAAGCGCCAGCATGTTGTACCTGGAGTCGGGCCCCGCGACTTCCTTCAGTGAGGTAAGATCAGCAAACCAGCTGTGAATGGGGCTTCATCCATCCTTTTTTGTTGATTCCGCAGAACTTCAGGAGATAAAAAGGACACATCAGGGCCAAAGGCCCTCCAATTGTGTGACATTTCTCAGTCAAATAGAATTGCTTTAACTCTTTCTGGAACTTTGTTCAGTCAAAATAATTAGTGCTCATCAATTCAAATACGGCTTGACAATAGGTTTTTCTTGAAATCAACTAAAAAATCAACAAAAAAATGCAAGGGGGAGATTTGTGGAGAATGCATTTTGCATTTTAAACTCAGTTGCTGTGTGTCTATGTGGACATCTGAAAGTGTGTGTGTCAGTCCACAAAACAGAGGGAATGTAAACACCTGGAAATCCGTTGGATGGTTCCTTTTTGTAAAATGGCTGCTGTCTGTCTGGGCACAGATTTAATCAGATGTTGGGATTTAACTGCAGTCTGGTTGTTGTTCGTTGAACATTTCACATGTTTTTTTTTAAAGAAAAAGCTTTTGAGGCTTTTCTTTTCCCACAATAAGATGTTTCCCTGCAGAAAAACGGGCTTTTGAAGCTTACATTTTTCTACGGCAAGATATTTCTGCGCGGAGCCCCAAAACATAGAAGTTGAGTTTTTAATTCCATTGTTGTGTGCTATCTCTCCACAAATGTCTACATGTTAAGTAAACACTCTCATTCATCAAAAATTAATTTAATCTTAACTAAGAAGTCTATGCTATGGATCATGATTATGTTTAGAAAATAATCAGAGCTTCCATTTTCTTTTTTTCCCCGGAATCTGTTAGCAGTGATTTTTAGGTGTGTAATGCAAACACACTCCAAAGAGATACTATTTTCTTTGGAATAACAACTTTGACTTGAAGAAAAAAACAGTCCTGTAACAGAATGAGTATGTAAAAAAAAAACTGCTCATTGTAGGACTCCCGCCATTGGTTGCCTCAGTGGAGTTTAGCCCTCTGGTTTTTCTTTCTTTCACACAACCTAAAATCTACAAGCGTCCCTGATGCGGTGCGGGCGAGCAGTGATAGATTTTCAGATTGCAGGTTGCAGATAGCAGGTGTGTCAGGTCCCTGTCTTTTAAGTTGTCGAGCAGGGGGTCTTTAAGTGGTGTCCGACTCAATGCCTTTAGTGTGTGAGGTATCGGGTTCCCCCCTTGTCCCCCCAGTCTCCAGGGAGCCGCCGCTGCCATTAGAATGGGGCTGGCCAGGCGTTGGTGTTTAGTCCGGGGTCGTAATTGCTTTAATGGTATGTTGATGTAGATACAATCACCTGCTCTGCCCACCCCAGCAGGTATAAGGTTCAGATAGACCCCACCTCAACCACCCCCCCCCCCCCTCAACCTTATTGAGCCTTTAATGCCTCTGTCCCCTGTGGTCACTCATCATAGTCCCCTTAGATGCTCTTATACGCTGGCCAAAGGAACGCGGAGCAGGTCACCAGATTGGCTGGAATGGGAGCTATTCCCCCCCTGAGGCCAAGTCCACTGTGGGGTTCCTGTTTTCCCTACAGTCTGTTTGGTTTTATCAGTGCTTGTAGCAGCAACAGAAGATTTCTTTAAAGATCTGAAAACGAATAAGGGAGTTTGGTTTTTTTCAAATCTGTTTCTCTTTCTCGGTATAAAACTGACGTTAATGTTCTGTAAATGTTGTGGCGTTCCTGGTGCTCGTCTCATGTTTCTTCTCAGGAAGGACTGTTGGTTTTTCCCGGTAACAGGCAATGCCTGAACAGTGATCCCAAAGATAACAAAATCTCTTCTTATGACACTCAAATGTCTCGTGTCACAACACCCAAAGCAACTGGTCTTATAGTGGTTTTGTCACATGAGGAAATTTTCCCCCGCCTGTAAATTATTGGCTTCGGCTATATTTGTTGAGCTCAGACATATTTAACGTTTTTTTTTTGTTTTGTTGTGTTTTGTTGGGATCATCAAAACCCACAAAACAAAGTAATAGAATGCGTTAGCGTGTCATACCGAATACCAATGACTTGGCCTGAGCAGTACCTTCTAAATCAGTTCTGCCATGCGTATTTCAAATATCTCTGATATGTGTTGTGGATAATTCAGATTCTTACATTACAGCGAACATGCAATCACTGTAAAGGTCAACAGTTTCTTGTTCGTGTTGACCCGTAATGGCTACCTCAGCATGCATCACAAAGACACTAGCTTACAGGCCTCGAGCAGACAGCGCAACCTTTCCAAAACTTTATTAAAGGCTTGTGCGGGTGTCAAAGCTGCTGATTTAATGTGTTTCTGCTTAGCAGCACAACGTCCCAAAGACCCAAACACAGCGTCAGCTATAAACAGAAGGAATTTTTAAGAGCCGCTAAAGTGGTTATTAACCAGTTACTGTATTACAGTGGAATAAGATCTGATTAAAGGAACAAAGAGAAGGCAAGAAACTCCCTTTACACAACACTTTTTTACAAAAAAAAAGTTGATATCTCACTTCCAGACCATTAAACATTAAAAAAAAAACATGACATGCTACGGTGAAAGTCTGCCGGGCTTCAATGGCTGCCCAATTACGGCTTTATCCTCAAATCTTCATCTTTGATCCTTATTTTCGTTTGGACCGTGACAAGAGTGATTTGGGGGCACGTCAGACGCTCTTCTTTGTGTGTTTTTTTTCCCGTTTTTCTTTTATCTGTCTCTGGTCTCATGCCAGCATCGAGCTTTTCTTCGGAACGATCATTTGGCATTGATAATTGGTGCCTGTCACATGCACGGCGGCAGCTGCCAGCATCAGGTACTCAGAGGGGGGGGGTGGGGGGGGGGGGGGTTTAGGCTGTGTCATCTCTCTGCCTGAGCGCCTCAGTGGAATTATTCCACAGTTCAAAAAGAATCGCGTTGATATCACCATCATATACGGGGAAAAAAATACCAATCCGAACAGGAAATAAGATCAGCCGAAGATATTAGACTCACACATTTCCGCTAAACTGTGAAACTGACTTTTTTTAGCTTTTGCACAGGTGACAGAAGACAGAGAGTTTCACTCCCACCTGTTTTAGCAGCCACTGTTTTTGTTTTTCTGACATCACACGCGGCCCGTTGACCTGAAACCTTTTTAATACATGTGTGTAATTAGCCCCTTTGTGAGGGAGTGTGTGTTTGGGAAGTTGGGAAGCCCCCTCCCCGCTAAGGGCTTGAGAATCCCCTACACAATGGAAGTTTTTTTTGTGTGAGTGTGTTGTGTGTGTGTGTGTGTGCGTGTGCGTGTGTCTGTGTGTGTGCGCTTCATTCACAAAATACTTGTCCCTTAACACCTGCATGCCCGGTATAATTGTTCTCCAGACAAGCTCTTCTAAGCTCTGGTGTCATTGTTTCCGAGGGGTTCAGCAGCTCCACACCAAACACACACACACACACACACACACACACATATATTCTGCTACCCTGTGGCGCTGTTGAACAAGTATGTTGGGGTTGACTCAGATGACCTCTCCGGGTTGTGTCTGTCTGGGTGTGTGAGTCTAACCCCCGCCCATGTAATCCGGGATCAATAAATGCCTTTTATCGATTGACAAGCCGCCATCTTGATTTTGTAGTTATATAAATGTCATCGATCACCTGCCGCAAAAAAAAAAAATTAACACCTGGCCATGCGGTGGGCGTGAGTCGGACAGCTGTGGTCAGCCGCGCTTGAAATAAACAAGAGGCCCTGAGGAGATTAATGGCCGGTCTAAAGAGCGAGAGACATGGCACCTCGTCCAGGAATGTGCCGTTTATAAATGGAAAGGAATGGGGTGAATGGCGAGCAGAGCCAGCAGGAAGGGTCTGGCTCTGACCCAGGCGTATTCTCCATCCTGTTTAAAGCCAGATATTTTAATTCCATTCCTCCCGTCTGAATAGTTTTAATGATGGAGCAGGACGTGTTTGTTTTATTTATTTCCTCTGGCTTTTATGTTTTTTTTTATGTATATACTCACTTCATGTTATATTCATATTCAACTTTTAACTGAAGTTTTTTAGTTTATCAGATCATTTTAAGCTAAGCTACTTTTTTCTAGAGTTTTAAACTTTGGCATTCATACCAGGCAAGCAAAACCAACCCTACCTAAATGTCCAATGTGGGTGTTTTGTTGCTCGTCTCATTGAGAATCGTCCATCTTGTGTTAAAACTGAAGCATCTCGAAAGGCTGTAATCACTGAACGTCTCCTTTTCTTCTTCTCTGCTATTCCCCTCCATTTTGTCCCCAGTCACAGTATACAAATCTGGGGCTCCTGAACAGCATGGATCAGAACATTCAGAACAGCGGCTCGACCTCCACCAGCCCCTACAACAACGACCATGCCCAGAACAGCGTGACCGCCCCGTCGCCCTACGCCCAGCCCAGCTCCACCTTCGATGCCCTGTCCCCCTCGCCGGCCATCCCATCCAACACAGATTACGCCGGGCCCCACACCTTCGACGTGTCCTTCCAACAGTCCAGCACGGCAAAGTCTGCCACTTGGACGGTAAGATTTGCACCCACTAAGCTGTTTTTTTTTCTCTTTGGGGTTACTTTTTGTTGATTTGCTTTTCCGAAAAAGAAAAAAAAAAAGGTCTGAGAGTGACTCAATCATGACCATATACAGTGGGGGAAATAAGTATTTGACTCCTTGCTGATTTTGCCGGTTTGAACGCTTACAAAGAATGCAAAGATATATAACTTTAATCATATGTACATTCTAACAGTGAAAGACAGAATCCCAAAGAAAATCCCAGAAAATCACATCATATGAATTTATAAAAAATTATAAGCATCTGATGTGGGTAAAATAAGCATTCTTTGTAAGTGGGCAAACCTGCAAAATCAGCATGGGGTCAAATACTTATTCCCCCCACTGTATATATATACCATATACCATATATACCATGACCATATATATACGATAAATTGATCAATATTGAGTTTACAGTCGGAAATAAGAGTATAAAAAACTGGGAAACAGCCAGCATAATAACAGGTAAGTTGTGAGCATACTGTCAAATATATACCATCTACTATAAATTTTTGCTATGTTTCTCATTAACACTCTGATCTGGGTAATAAACCAATTTATGCCATGGAACCTAATGCAAAGTTGTACCATATGTGGAAGCACATATTTTCAAATGATAGATAAGGGCCGACATTTTCATATGCTCTCTGTCATCATTATGAGGCGGCTGTGTTTGAGGTTAGAGGCTAAAATCCCTCCTCCTCTACCTCTGAACTCCTTATCTCGCTGTGGGAGCTCCAGGCAGATTCAGGTGTGTGTAGAAGTCCTGCGTTTGCGCAATTACATCTGGCATAGGGGGAATGTCACTTAAGATGTATAGCTTCAAATCATGACTCATCCTCAGGCAGTTTTAGCTAACTTGATGACAGAGTGAGGAGGGGAAGTCATTTTTTTCTCTTTTTTTTTTTTTTACCCCCTCCTCAAAAGTAATCCTAAGGATCTGAACTGACAAAGTTAAGATAAGCTACCTGCTATTAGGCAGCTTCATTTATTAGTCCATGCATTTTTTTTTTTTTTTTTTTTTTGCCATTTTCAAACCTCTGTTTTCTTGCAAATGGTAAATTTAATAGTGGTCCAGGTGTGCTGATCCCATGTGCAGCTAGATGTCACCATGTGACGCAACCAGCTCCTCCTGCTTTGTCATTACGATGTGACAGAGCCCAGGGACAGCTGGTTGCCTCACTGCCCCCCCCCCCGCTCGGTTGTTTATGTGTCTAACGCGCCTCGCTCCGTGCCGACGCAGCAAAATCCTGCACACGCGTGCATTTTAGCTGACAAGATGGGGGGGGGACAGAGTCGTTCGGCCTCGTTTTATAAAGATAAAGCTTCTGAGGTAGTGGACATCGTCCTGTGGCATGCAACTAACATAATGCTCCTCCATTAATATAACCTCTATACAAAAGTTAGGATGAATAATGTGTTTCAGACCTTTACACGGGTCCCTCCCCTGTCAAATGTGCACTCAGCAAGTAAAAAAAACGGCAGGGAAATTATGCGCCGTGCCTTCCAGATACACAGGGAGTGCTCACCTTGTTCCTTGGCCACGCCAAGTGTGGGATTGTGACATTTACCCAATTCCCACAGTGCCGCGCTCATCCCTCTCATTTTCACAGTCCAAAAACAAAAGTGTTTGTCTGATGTGCAACTGTGAGCGGCTCAGTGTGGTTTGTGAGGAGGCACGCCCCAGAGGCCGCTTTACTACACATCCCGTCACACACACACATGTGTGTGTCCCACAGTCATAACACATGATGCAAGACTGGTTGGATTGGTATGACTTAACGGGCAAAATCAGTGGATTTATACTTAATAGTGTATTGAATCAAAATAAAACCATCAACTAAAGTGTTGCAGATATGCTCACTTATATAAAATTTAAAAAAAAAAGGATAAATATCCTCCAGAGCGTGCCGTTTCATGGTCCTGGATGTGTCCAACCATTTAAATATTTCTCAATACATAACAAAAAGGTATAAATCTACTTAACAATCATAAAGTAGTCGGTTGTTGCAACCAGTTGAATATCAAGTTTGTCCACTTTGTTAAGGGATGAGCCACTCAGTTAATCCTTATTCTGATGCTCCCATTGTCATAGCGATTGTTTATGTTTTTTACTCTCGTGATAATGCTCAAAGGACCGAACAGAGCGTCTACCCCAACTTTTCCTTCGCTCAGACCTCTGCTTGTCTTTTTTTTTTCCTGTGGCTTTTTCTATGCGGGCTCACAGAGAGAGTCATTTTCACTTTGTCTGCAGCAGACTACCCAATTTCTAAAGAGCAGTGATTATAGTGTTGGTTCTCATCTCAAAGGAGGCTCCCTCGCCTGATCTCAGGAGATCTTTCTTTAAGCTCCCGTAATCTCAGCCCAATAGCTGAACGGCTGGACTGATGGACTGATGGCAGAGAGCCACCGAAGATGTCACCAGCCCGGCTTTGCTCGGCAATAGATCGGCTAATGCGTCCCTTTTGAAGACCTGTGGGATCTTCCACGGGACTTAGTGGACTGTGTACTGTACTTTTTGATGACTGTTCTTATGGAGACACACCTAATCCCTAACCCCACACCTTAACCTCTTCCTGTCTACGATGACTGTGACACACACACATACTCACACTCACTCACTCACCGAAAGGTGGAACACGTCAACCTTTCCCAGAATGTCTCCCCCTCGCAGCTTCCTTGTTAGCGCTCCCGCCTCTTCGTTCAGACAGAAAAAACCTACTGGTAGCCCAATGAGAACACGGGACGAAGATGTTTGGTCAATGGAATTAATGGAGGGTTGCGAACGAGGCTGCTGTTCTGGGCCTCCGATGCAACTATTGTGAGGGTAAAGATTGGTGGTGTTTGCCAAGTGTATTAACTGTCACCACACATAGCCAAAAAAAAGAGGAATGTCATGGTATGGGCCATCGCTGGGTCGCTGTGGAGCTCAGGGGGATTACAGTAATGGATTGAGGGCCTGTAGATAATACTTGTGTAAATACCATTTGCCTCTTACCTGAACCCTGTGCTCTCGGAGCAGGTCCTGTCTTTTTGAGAGAGTTAAGCTTGATGGCTGCATCTCACATTGCGCCGGAGGAGGAGGAGGAGGAGGAGGTGGAGGAGGAGGAGGAGAGCCTGTGAATGCTCAAAGAGACGAGTGTTCCAGCAAAAGGCGGCAAGACTCGGCTTGCCCCTGGAACATCTGCGGGCCCGTCCCACGCCTCACGAGATGGAGCTGAGACTTGTTTGTGTCGAGGAGCTTGTCACGACTCGCCCGTCAGAGAGAGACAAGCCCTGAAATCTGCAGATGGGGAAAGGTGGAGGGGGGGAAATTTTTAAAGGAAGAGATGGAAAGGTTTTTATGATAGCTGTGGGATTTCTTCATTATCGTCATGGAAAAGTACATTCTCTTTGAGTTTAGATTACAAGATGGACTTTTTTTAATGTCAATATCAACCTGGATTAAGAAAATTAACCTTTTTTTTAAATTACTTTAAGCATAACAAGTGTATTAGCTGTTAAAAAATGTATTTATTCTTGTTTTCAGAATCAGAATCAGAAATCGCTTTAATGACCAAAAGTACATAGTACACAGGAATTTATGGTTGCCTACAAACAAAGTCTTCTTTATATTTCAGTAAACCTCTCCACATTATTTTACAGTGCATAGGTGTCAGGCTGACATGAAGGTCAATCTTTTTTTTAAAAAGATTGACAGATAGAGGGAATTATCCTGGAAAATGTTAAATGTTACCCTAGTTTAATCTTGTCCAAAAGGGCAGGTGCTTTGCTTCAGTTTCAGAGAAAAGAAGGAAAAAAAAAAGAAAAAAACCCCCACTCTGGATTATTGTTGAATTAAACAGGTTTGGGAGAAGCTGCAGGGCGTGACGTGACATGTCAGGTATGAAGAAGACAAGACCAGAGGCGCCAAACAGTGCTTGTTTAAGGCCCCGGTGTTTGTCGGAACTTGACTTTCTGCGTGCGCCCGCAGCGCCTGTCAGCCAGAGAAAGAACGCTACAGCTGTGGGCCTGCCCCGACCTGCGCCGCGCAGGAAATGTGTTTACGCCGGGGCGCTGCAGAAGTTAGAAAGTAAATCGCCTCCCCCTGTGCAAAAAAACTGGCTGTGCTCTCGGGGCCTGTATTTTTGCGCGTCCAGGCTAACCCTAACCCAGGCCTTGAGCGGCTGCATGTCATCGGTCTGAATTCGGCCACCTGAGGTCATTCATTGTTTCCATCTGGCCGGCCGCCACGCGTGCCGGTTGGACAATATGTCACGTGGGAATTCGACACACAGCTTTCTTTCAAATGATTGTGATTAAGCCGCTCCGCATTGTGCGCCGTGCGCTCCTCGGCTGTGTAATTCGCATTGTGGCCCGATGAAAGGCCGGTAATTACACGTTAACACCTGAGCGCCGCGCCCTGTGTGTGAGCCACTGGATCTCATCAGTCAAAACCGAACCTGCCCTCCTCCACGCCCCCCCCCCCCCCCCCCCCACACACACACCCCCCCACGCCGCTCCCACTGCTCGGCAAATCCCGCACCGGCAGCGTTTAACCGGGCCCTCGAAATCTGTAGCTCCGGGGCTGGGATGGTTCTGTGGTATGCACGTGTGTGTGTGTGTGTGTGTGCGTGCGTGTGTGTGTGTGTGCGTGTGGATGTTTCAGACAGTAAGATATCATCTCAGCAAACTTTGGTTTTTCTGCCTCTCCAAACCTCTCTAATTAGATCTTTGTGCGGCGGGTTGTGTTGTTTTTCGCCTTCAGCTACGCAAAAAGCGGCTCTATAATTATTTAAAAACACCACATGCTGACCCCTTCACACCCGAGCCCCTCTCCTTCTCTTTGCCTCCTAATCCTCAGCTCTCTTGCCTTTTTCCACTCGCTTTACCCCCCTATCTTTGCTAGATAGGATTCTCCACCTCATTTACCTGATTGACAGAGGTGTACAAGGAGTATCATGTTAGAAGCGAGGGGGACGAGTGCCTTTTTCTTTCTATTTAAGAAAAAAGAAAAAGGGGAAATCTTTGGGGAATCTCATTCGGATTCAAGGAATAAATGAGTTTCCGAGCTTGAACTTTGCCCTCTTATACACGGCTACCTTCAGTTTACTTTCCCATTTGATGTTTACTTTAAAAACTATAGACATTTATTATTCTGCCATTAGTTGACATTCACGGTGATGTATGAGGCACCTGAATGCAACACACACACAGAAAGAGAGGAGAAGCTGCTGTTTTTTGGGCTTTTCTTGATTAAAGCAAAAGGTTGTGTGGGGGGGGAGAAAATGTCCGTGCCAAGCTTGTGTAACACCTGAAGTCAGCACGGGCAGAGCTCCTTTTCATTGGAACCGCACTTAACAGAGGTGGAATTCGATGTTGCATTATTGTCAAACGCAGCCCCGGGCGGTTTTCACAGCGTGCACTTTTCTTCCCTCCCCGAAATGATCCTGACAGGAAAATATTCCCCTCCACCCACCCACCCCAACCCCCCCTCCTCCACCACCCTGTGTCTTCGGCACACTGGGGATTTAAGGGCTGTGCTTACACAGCAGTGATTTGAATGGCTTGTTTACACAGTTGGGTTGTGCCTATTAGCAACAATTCAGTCTTTTTTTGATGGCTTGCTGCTTATCAATTCCAACAGTGCCAGGGATCAACGCACATCCATTATTTATGGCTCCTGGCTCGCAAAAGGGAACGTGAGCCAGCTTCTTTTTTTTTTTGTGTGAGCAACCCTTACGCTTTAGTGTGTAGGGATACCTCCCCCCCTGTGCGCGAGATTAGCCCTCCACTGGTGCATTCGGGCCCAAAACCGAGGCATTTCCATCCCGCCTAATGCAGCCCGAGCTCAGTATGATGAGTGGCCATCAGATGCTTTAGAAAGAGAACTTCCCCCCTGGAAGATGAAAGCCAGGCCCTTTTTTTAATTGCTCCTTGAGGGGTCTATTTTATGGCGCGCCTCGGAAGTCCCAGAGGCTCTCCGTGAGACATCTTTGAGGTTGCCCAACACACACACATACACACACACACACACTGGTAGCACCAGAACGTGTGTGTTTATTCAAACAGGTCATAATCACAGTGCTGTATTTAAAGCCCCCCTTTTTCTTTTTTTTTGGGTTTGCTTCAGGGGAACCAGAAGTGTTGAGTCTGGGCAACAGGTGTTACCTAGATTCAATTTGGGCCTTTAAAATTCAAGGCAGATCTGTGAAGGAGCCTCCGAGCAAATTTGTTTGAAAATGAAGGGGGGGGAAAAAATCACTTTGCAGCTCCGGATGCATCTCTGCTCAAAATGTTTAACGGAATCTCTTGTCTGTGTGTGTGTGTTGTTTTTTTTCTCTCTCCACTTTTCAGTATTCAACAGAACTGAAGAAGCTATACTGCCAAATCGCAAAGACGTGTCCCATTCAGATCAAAGTGCTGACCACCCCACCGCAGGGAGCGGTCATCCGGGCCATGCCGGTGTACAAGAAAGCCGAGCACGTGACCGAAGTGGTCAAGCGCTGCCCCAACCACGAGCTCAGCCGCGAGTTCAACGACGGTCAGTTTTTCTTTACTTATTTTCACCCAAATTTAAAAAAAAAACTTCCTATTCACGTCTGACCATTTTCAATGACCCAACTCCTGTTACTTCCAGGTCAGATAGCTCCTCCGAGCCACCTGATCCGCGTGGAGGGGAACAGCCATGCCCAGTACGTGGAGGACTCCATCACTGGACGGCAGAGCGTCCTAGTCCCGTACGAGCCCCCCCAGGTAAGGGCCCTGGGTCAGCAACACCTCACCTCTTCTTGCCTCTCCTTTCTGGCTGTGGCCCCCTAAAGCCTCTGATTGGGACCCTCTCCCCATCCCGAAGCTGCCCCTCAAGGGGAAACAGCCTTTGAGTCTCCTTTAGAAAGAGACGCCACAAAAGATTAACCCAAAAGTCAGCTAATAAAAACCAAATCTGGGCCTCAAATGACTGAATCCAGTATATATGTATGTATATATATATATTGTATATATATATATGTATATATGTTCAGAGATGTTTAGATGTATATGCCGCTGTTTTATTTATGGAGCCGGTAACAAAAATAATTTCCCTCTGGGATTATTAAAGTATTTCTGATTCTGATTCTGATTCTGATTCTGATTTCGGTTTGGTGTCGACTGACCTCCGGGGCCTTTTTTTAAAAATGTTTCCCCTCCGCAGGTGGGGACGGAGTTTACCACCATCCTGTACAACTTCATGTGCAACTCCAGCTGCGTGGGGGGGATGAACAGGCGCCCGATCCTCATCATCGTCACCCTGGAGACCAGAGAGTAAGGGACGGCCTTGTTCTGGGCTCCTTTCGGGGCTTGTGAGGTGGACGGTGTTCTGACAGAAGTGCTTTGTGGTCCACCCCCCCTCTCCCAGTGGACAGGTGCTAGGCCGCCGCTGCTTCGAGGCCAGGATCTGCGCCTGCCCCGGCCGGGACCGCAAGGCCGACGAGGACAGCATCCGCAAGCAGCACGTGGCCGACACAAAGAGCAGTGACGGTACGAAACGCCGTAAGTAGGGCCGGGCTTTTGGTGGCGGGCTGACCGGCTCCGGGTCCTTAACTGACCGCAGCCGGGTTTTCTTCTGGGAATTCTTCCCTGGCTTGTTTTTTTTTTTTCCTCCTGCTCTGGCTTCGCTTAGTGTGACCGCTCCCACACAGGTCACCACCAGCAATTGAACCCCGCTCACTGTTTCCCCCCCAATCGTCTTTTTTTTTTATAGCCTTCCGCCAAGTGTCCCACGGCATCCAGATGTCCACCATCAAGAAGAGGAGATCCACGGACGAGGAGGTTTTCTGTTTGCCCGTGAGTGTTCTCTCTACTTTAACAATTTTCTCACCATCGTGGACCAAAAATGACCAAACGACTTCTCTCTCCGAGCTCTGACAGTTGCCTCGTGCTTCCTCATTTTTCTTTAGATCAAAGGCCGCGAAATCTACGAGATCTTAGTCAAAATCAAAGAGTCCCTGGAGCTCATGCAGTTCCTGCCGCAGCAAACGATAGAGTCGTACCGGCAGCAGCAGCAGAATCTCCTCCAGAAACAGTGAGTCCCCCTTCCTCTGTTTCGGATCAGCGTGCAGGAATGACTGACTTGTACGTGAGCGACTGATAAACTAGTCATTTCGCGGCCTCATTCAATGCTGCCACCGAAGCGTCCAGGCCGTGTTGAAAAGCTGACAATAAGAGCTCGGAATTTGCTCGCAATTGACCGCTTTACTCAGAATTTGGCCTCGCCTCAGGTGGAGCTGTTTTTTACCCTCCCGTTTCTTTCTCGGAAACGGGAGCCAAAGTCGACGAATTTGCGACTCTTTGTTAAGGGAGAAGCTTCCAGAGGTTGGTGGTAACACGCCTTAGGTTGCGTTGCCAGGTTTTTTGCACAACAGCCCCCATAAAAACCCCAAACCCGTGCCTCGGCCCCACCTATCGGCAGAAATTAAACTGCCCCTTTTTATTTAGACCAGTGGTGATAAAAACCGAGAGAATCGCTGTAACAAACTCAACAAACTCAAACCCCTCGTATCCTCTGGAAGCTTCTCATTAGAGTTTATCAGCTTTTTCTGAACATCCACCCAAGTGTGTTTCTATCTGTTACATTCCTGCTAAATAACAGCCCTCTGCCCGCACAGGGGTTCAAATCTGGGTTGTGCGTTTGTGTACAGTGCCATCTTGTGGTCACCAATAGCAGCACATCAGGGTTTCCGTCACCTTGTTTGTTTTTTCCCTGCGAGTTGAGTTAATTTCTGACCCTCTGGGCCTCTAACTCCTTCTCTTCTCCTCTGCCAGTGAGCCCTTATTTCTGCTTTCTCTCTCCTTTTCTGGTTCCTCCCCTGCAGCCTGATTAAATCCCGGCTGGGTAGCCAGCTCCTGGAGTCTGTAGGAGAGCAGAGGCGGCGCACCAGCTCCTCCTGAAACTGAAACTCTGCCCCACATTCCTCCTCCTCCTCCTCTTCCTCCTCCTCCTCCTCCAAGTTACACGGACCTCCTCTCTGTCTCCCTTTTACCAACTTTGATTTTTTCTCTTGGGTTTCCCTCTATTTCCATCCCGGGATTCTGTTCTCAGGATATAAACTGACTGTTTTTCGACATCTGGAACTCCCGGAATAAGCACCACTGAGTGTTCACTGACATGTTTTTTTTGCATGCGTCGTTTTTTTAAAGTTTATTTTTTGTCCTTTGAACCCTGTTTCACGGGGGCTGCTTGTTGTGATGGCTTTCTCGGTCAGGCCTATTTCTTTTTAGGCTTTTTACGAACCGTTCGGTGATCTCTCGGCCCTCCAAGTCAAAGTTTTTGTCGGACACTGTTTTGTAAAACCTCAAACTTGGCTCACGGAGATTACCAAGCAAAGTTGTGCGTTTTTTTTTTTCCTTTTTTTTTTGCTTTATGATGAGAGCTGGACTCAGACATTTTTTTGTGGGGGGTTGTGTTGGGAGGTCTTTTTGTCAGTGCTGGTCATGTTTTGTAAAGTCACTGCAGGACAGTTTGTGTGTTTAACTTCCTTCAATAAAATCGTCTTTTAACAGAAAGAGCTAATCATTTGTGTTTTGTGATGGACAGAGCAGGCTTGACCTTTTTTTTTTTTTTTTAATTCAGACAATTTGAGTTTGCTGTCGGTCAGACTGTACTTAACGGCCGAGCGTATGTGTGTGTGTGTTGTCAGAATGAGTTTGGATTCTTTTTATTAACCCGTTCCAGTCCCGATTGTGCGTTAACGGCCTGTCGCTTCCTCTCTGCCCGCCCCAGGACTTCCATGCCGTCTCAGCAGTCCTACGGCTCCAGCTCCCCGACTCACGGAAAGGTCAACAAGCTGCCCTCGGTCAGCCAGCTCATCAACCCCCAACAGCGCAACACGCTGACCCCGTCCGGCATGTCCGGAGGCCTCACTGACAGTAAGCGCCATCTTGTCTCTCTTAAATGAAAAAAATAAATAAAAAACAAACTAGAAACTACTCCCACCAGTCGTGGCCGTCCATTCTGGGCTCATTCTATAGGACAGCAATGTTCAGGCTTAGGCCCCCACCCACCCAGCCACCCACCCAATCACAACTCCACGCTAATAACAGAAAGCTCAATCAAGAATGTGATCCCTGTGAGATTCTCTCGCGGGAAACCTGTGATAATGCAATCGTGTGTCGTGTTGAAAGTAACCTCTGCCAGTCCCCTCCCGTAGTTCCGGCTGAACACGAGAGAGAGAGAGAGAGAGAGAGAGAGAAGGCTCACAGTAGCTCCTTTTGTCTCTGCAGTGACTCCCATGATGGGCACTCACATCCCCATGAACGCTGACATGAGTTCACTGAGCCCCACACACGCACTGCAGCCACAGCTACCCCTGGTGCCCTCCTCCCACTGTACCCCCCCTCCTCCATACCCCATGGACAGCAGCATCTCCAGGTACCTCAGCGAAAGCTTAGCGCCACACACCCACTGCGCTTCTTTGATTTTTTTTATTTTTTTCCGGGGGGGTTTTTACCTTCAAAACGGGCGGAGGGTGCAAAATGCTAATCGTTAAACCAGTTTTTTTTTAGCATCATACTGACATCAGATTATTTATAGACGACCCTTTCCATTATAGGGCTTGTGACATTTTTTAATCAGCAACCAACTCCGCCCCCCCCCCCCCTTCCCAGCCTTCACATCTTAGACAAACACATACCCCCTCAGAAAATCTTCATAGGACATGTAACAGATTAGCTCCCACCAGTCTGAGCAACACCAAAATCAAACTGGCTTACAAAAAGAATGGAAAAAGTGACTTCTGATGCTAAATTTGTCCTGTTTCGTGTTTCATTTAGACACTTTAGAGCAAAATGCGCTACTGTAACCATAGGACTGAACTGTATTGATCAAAGTTTTTACACTGCAAGCTTCTTCCTGCTGTTTAAAACTCCATTCGCTCCAGATATTTTCTGTGTGGGCTCAGAAAAGCGCCCAGATGTATACCCCTCCCGAGCTAAAAAAAAAAAAAAGGGGGTTTAAAATCAAACAAGTCACAGAGGAAATGTTGGCACGGCGTAGCCGGGGTGTCAAACAAAAGTCTAACGCGGATTTTTGTTCCCCTCTCTCCTCCTCAAATGGCAGCTTCCTCCTTCGGCTGGGCTGCGCAGGCTGCCTGGATTACTTCACAGCACAGGGTCTAAGCAACATCTACCAGATTGAGAACTATAACATGGAGGTGAGCCCTTGCCTATCCAACACGAGTCATATGATGGGTTAGCAGGAAGAATGGCACCCCCCCAACCCCCTCCCTCCCTCACCTTCGCCACCCGCGAATACTAACGCTCACCCTGTGTGATGACTATTAGGACCTGTCCCGGCTGAAGATCCCAGCAGAGTTCCAGCACATCATCTGGAAGGGCATCATGGAGCACCGACAGGCCATAGATTTTTCCCCTCCTCCACACATAGTGCGCACCACTAGCGGGGCCTCCACCGTCAGCGTGGGCGCCTCCGAGGCCCGGGGGGAGCGCGTCATCGACGCCGTGCGCTTCACCCTCCGCCAGACCATCTCCTTCCCGCCCCGCGACGAGTGGTCCGACTTCTCCTTCGACCTGGATTCCCGCCGCAACAAACAACAGCGCATCAAGGAGGAAGGGGAGTGAGGCGGGAACCCCCCCCTTCCAGGTCCCCGCTCTTCAGCGATCCCGATTTATTTTTTATTCATTTCACGTCTGCCTGAGGAACATTTCACTGGAAACCCTTTTTTTTTTTTTTTTTTTTTTTTGGTCCAAATACGCCTGAGAACAAAAAACACACCGCCGAAATGCACTTATTTTCCTTGTACTGGTTCTCCCCCGTCGTGGATGATGAGGGATTTTTTTTTTATTATCTTGTTATTTCTTGAGAGCACTTAAGAAATGCTGAGTATTTCAATGTTGCTTTGAGATTGTATTGTTGAGCGTTCACCATTCATTCCCCCGATTAAAGCGCACGACCGGAGACACACGTGCATCAGAGGGGCTTACCTGGGCTTGGATTTTCCCGCTATGGACCATGGCTGATGTACTTGTACTTGTTTCTTTTGTAATACTTTTGCGTTTTCACCCTGGTGGCTGTTGCAAGTTTAGTCAAGCACACTGGTTTTAACGTGTGGCAGAAATTGATTGTAAACATTTCATACATTTCCTTTGAGAAGTATTAAGACACTGGACGGGCAATTTCTTGTTTTGTTGTTTTGTTTTTTTTACATCTTCTGTAGTTTTCATCTTTATTTTGGTGTGTGTGGTGAGACCAATGTGTAACTCATTGTGAAGTATGTGTGTTTAAGTGAACAATGGTCATTCATTTGATGTAGCCATATATAGGCCTAATGCTCTTGACCCAGTGTTTTACAGTTAAGTGATACTATGACTGATGTCGTTTCGATTTTGTTTACCGCTGTACAAACTTTTATTTTCATGAGAGCAGCCAAGCACAACTTTTTTCTTTTTTTTTTCAAATCATGGCCCATGTTCTGGCAGAGGTTTATTTCATTTGATAACTGGCCTAAATGTATATAAATTTGTATAGCCTCCCAAAAGGAAATGCATGACTTTCATAATAACGTATTGTGGGTTCACGAGTCCACGCGGTGTGTGTGTACCGTGTTAATCCAAAGCCCAAGTTCAGCTTTTTCATATTTTTGTACAATGTATAGTAAATATGTTGCAATTTATCAAGGGTATTTTGATATAAATTTGAAATAAATATCCAAACTTGCTGTATTGCATGTTAACAAGTTGTGTCCATTTTTTTTAACATCTTATAGACACAACCAATAAAGGACTTGTTTTTTCTTATATTTTAACGATGTCACTTCAGGTACAGAAAAGAAAAATTGGCACATTATGTATCTTTGTTCTACTTTTATTTCTCCAGAGCCCAAAAGTTCATACAGACTGCTGTGGTTCATCAGTCCTTCTCACATTAGTTTATATATTTACAAACAACACAAATAGAAACGTTTGTGGGCTAAACGGATGGGGGTTTGCTGTACACGAGCAGAAAAATAGGCATCTTTCTTTTTTTTTGCGTTCCACTTTGTACAGAATGTTTTACACGCTTTATACAAACGGCTTTACGGGGGTTTGCCGCGGTCACTCCACCTCCGCCACGTGGGCCACCTCCACCTCCATGGCCTGAATGACCTCGGGGGCGTCGTCGGCCTTGCCCCCGGTCAGCCCCTGCTGGGCCAGGACGTAGTTGACCACCTGCATGATGCCCTGGTCCGAAAGCGTGGCCACTGACCCGTCGGTCGCCGCCTGCACGGCCTGGACGGCCTCCACCGCCTCCACCGTCTCCTCGGTGATCAGCACGGTCTCGATCTCCTCGGCGGGCGGCTGCTGGGCGGGCCGCAGCTCGGGCGGCAGGTCGGACGCCAGGATGCTGACGGCGTGCTCCACCTGGGTGCCCTGGTTGTGGAACTGGAGCGTGTCCTTCTCCAGCATGATCTTGCCCGGCAGGCTGTCCACGTGGTACTTGGCCATGTGCTTGCGCAGCGTGCGCGCGTCGATGTGCGCCTCCTGGCACATGGGGCACACGTACGGCCGCTCGCCCGTGTGCGTGCGCACGTGGCGCTTCAGGGAGCGGGCGTCGGCCCACGCCACGCCGCAGGTCAGACATTCGAAAGGCTTCACTCCTGGAGAAAAAAACGAAAAAACAAACAATTGAGCTGGTAAACAGACAGACAAAGCGGGCCCGGACACAAAGGCCTGGCGTGTCCGGGGGAGCTCACCCTGGTGGTTGTTGATGTGGCGCCGGTACTCCCGGAGCTGGGTGAACTTCCTGCCGCACTGCTCGCACTCTCTCTCCAGGTTCTGCTTCACTCTGCCTTTCTTCCCGTGTGTGGCCTTCTTCACGTGCCTCCTGAACAGCGCCTTCTCGAAGAACTCCTTCCCGCACACGTTACACCTGGGGAAGACACACACACACGCACACTTCTAAAAAACCTAGGCGAGCGAGTGGCGAGGTGCTCGGCGTCGCAGATCGAGATCCGTCTTCTAGGGATGTCCCCATCCAGCTTTTTACACTTCCCATCCGATACCGATATCGTATTTGCACTTCAGATCCGATACCGGCCTATGAGAGCATGCATTAAAGTTTAAAGTTATTAAGCCTACTAACTTAGTTGTCAGACTCATGTTGAACAGGGATTTACTCTTAAAACAACTTAATGGTTGGGACACAGACATGTGGGTTAGGAGATGCTAAAGCTCGTGTAGGATTGGGCATAAAAAAAAAAAACAGGATCTGGAATCTGGACCGGCATTTTCTCATGCCGGCTGAAACGCATTTTTTTTGGCAAATATCGGCGACCGATCTGGTCCAAATACCGGATCGAGACAAGCCTACCGTCTTGGGTCGCTCGGTGGCGATGGCGGCAGACTTACTTAAAGGGCTCGGCCACGCTGTGGGACTTGACGTGCGAGTACCAGTCCTTCTTCCAGCTGTAGCACTTCCCGCACACCTGGCACTGGAAAGGCTTCAGGCCCATGTGCTTGTTCATGTGCTGCTGGAGGTCTTTGGCCTCGTAGAAGCTCTTGTCACAGCTGCGGGTGGACAGAGACGGCCGGGGGTTAGCCCGAAGGGGGGGTGGGGGGGGGTCTGGGCTGGGTTGGGAGGGTGGGAGGAAGCGCCCAGGGCCGTTACTCACTGGGAACAGGCGAAGGGACGGACTTCGGGTCGGGGCTGGTGCTTCTTCAGGTGTTTGCTCAGAGCGGAGGCTCGGTGGAAGGTGGCGCCACACGTGTTGCAGAGGTACTTGGATTCGCCTGGGTTGGAAATCACAAAAAAAGGCATTCAACGGAATATCATCCTTCTTAGACCGGTTTGATTTAAAACGGGGATGGAAAAAAAAAAACATTTTGATAGGATTGCAATTCACACCCCTGACCACTTGGTGGCCAGTGAGCACATTAATGAGATATTGTCTCTGTTTGGCGTCATTCAGAAAATTTTCACTGCGGCTGAATGCCTGAAGTTTCTTCAGAAACCCCCGATAACAATGATGGCGTTGATAAGGAAAACGTCTGAGGAAAAAGTCCTGAACCTCATGATGATTTGGGGGGAAGTTGTGAGACCAGGCGATCAGATGATGTGCGATGGCACTGTGTGCATTCTCTGCTTACTTAGCTCAGACTGAATATTATTTTAAAATGAAATGCTATTAAATATATCCTTATTTCATTATTAAAAATGACATTGTCAATTAAACTTCCTCTAGTGTTAACCCATTGTAAAAAAAAAAATGATAAAAAGGGGTCGGGGCTGACCCTAACACAAGAAGAAGTTCATTAAAAAAAATAGATGGCAGTATTTTTATGACCCTGCCAGTCAAAATGACAGTCAATGAAAAAGTTAAGCACAACGTCTGCATAAAGACCATTACCAAAATAAAAACTGGTGACAGACTTCAACACGGATCTAACCATGACCTGGCGAGTATGCGTTTTGCATTATAATAGGTTGCCATATGTCAAACTAAAGAGATTTCTTAAGAATTTAACAACTGAAGTCATTGAACTTTAAATGATTTTTTAAGGTGTTGCCCACATTCATATCTTCCAATAATCTAAATATGTCCATACATGGTATCTATCTACACGGTGGATTTTAATCCCTCATTTGAACTGTTTCATCCAATAAAATCGGGCCATCATCGCCTCAGGGGATGATTAAAGGGTTTTTCTATTTCTATGGATATTTAAATAGAAAACAGCGGCAGGTAAAGTTCAGTTCATGTTCTCAAACATTAAGACAATTTTGGTCTTTTACAGCTGGTTTAGTTCATTGGTCGAAACTTGCCGTTTCGGAATCTGTGGGATTCACATGCTTGTTTTCGAAAACAGCCTATCCCATTTTAGTGGAGTTTTTTATCCTTTCTCTTTGATTGTTTATCATTTGAACCATGTTTGGTGGTTGAAGAAATATATTCAAAAGGAGGGGGCTGACCCGTGTGCAGGCTGGTGTGCTCCTCCATGCTCCGCTTGCTCACGAAGGACTTCTTGCAGAACTGGCACTGGAACTGCTTGGTGACGTCGTGCAGCGCGCGGTGCATCTTCAGGCTGTGCTTGTGGGCGAACGTCTTGCCGCACACCTTGCAGGAGTGCGGCCGCACGCCCGTGTGGTTCAGCATGTGGATCCGCAGCGAGTACAGCTTGGGGAGCGTCTTGCCGCAGATGTCGCAGACGAACTCCCTCTTGGTGTGCGCCGCCGCCGCCTTGTCGTCCAGCTCGCCCTCCGCCCGCCCCTCCGGCCCGTGCTCGGCCAGGGCTTTGGTCAGGGGCGCCCGCTGGCTGCTCTGCTGCTTGTGCCGGGCCAGGTGGGCTTGGAGCGAGGCGGCGTACTGGAACTCCTTGCTACACAGCTAAGAGAACATGCAGACACACACACACACGAGGGCGTTAGGGTCGGCGCGTCGCGCTCGGGACCGCGGTGGACCTCAAACCGGCCGATACTCACGCTGCACTTGTAGCCCCGAGCCTTCTCGTGTTTGAGCGTGTGCATGATGAGGGAGTAGCGCCTCTGGAAGGACATGCCGCACTCGGAGCAGGTGTGCTCTCCCCCCGCGGCGCTCTCCGACGGGGGCTGGGGCGGCTTGCTGCCCGTCTCTGGCTCCGGCGCCGTGGCGGCGGGCTCCTCCGCGGCGGCTTCCGCAGGCGGGGCGCCCGGCGAGGCGTTGGCCTCTGCCGGGGCCTCGCATGCAGGCGGCTCCTCCGCCGGAGCCTCCACGGGATGCTTTGGCGGTCTTCCCCTCTTGCGTTGGCCCGGAGGCGGCTTCAACCCACACCAGTCAAAAAGAGAAAAGTAAAAACACATACATTTCTAAGGAAATCCTTCCACGTTGTAGGGTGTCTACAAGTCTGAATTTATCAAAAAGAGAGTGGAAAAGAAACAAAAGCGGAATCTATCTATTATCTATACCACTTAATCCTAGTAAGGTGGGTCAGGAGCCTTTTCCAGCAGACATTGTGGGACTCCAGTCCATCACAGGGCCTCACATAGACAAACAAACAACCACACACACACACACTCACATTCACTCCAAGGGGCCATTTAGAGCCTTCATTCACAACCTAACATGCACCTTTTTTGGATAGAGGGAGGAAGCCGGAGACCCCGGAGGGAACCGATGCAAACACAGAGAGAACATATAAGCTCCACAGAAAGGTACCAGTCCCTCAGGGACTCGAACCGGGAACCCTTTTGCTATGAGGCGACAGTGCTGCCCATTTATAGTCGCATAGTTCTGAATTTCCACAGTCTGCGGGGAGAACAACCCTCCTATTGTGAGGCAAGAGATGCTAGTGAAAAAAAAATTTCTATCCAAAATTAAATCAAATCAATGTGACATTATAATTATAGCACTAGAGAACGCGTAGCAGAGGGATTTCTGAACTTTATCAGGGACTGAAGCTCCCTATGCCAGTCCCTGTGATAGTGACAGGATGCAGATTTCAAAAAGAGAAAACCATCATCTGAAATTAAAGTCCCTGAACTATCTTGCAAAAACTTGTTGCAAAGAGGAATTTTAAGTCAATTGGAGGCCAAATTAAAATGAAATGAAACGATTCAATTTCGTTTTTTACATTTATATGCCCTTTAGATAAAGAGTTTTTAGCAAAAACTCTAAATCAACCAACACAGGCAAGAAAAATGCCATGGGGACGTTCGAAACATATTTTGGGTTCAAATCAAGAACAGGCTGCTGCATTTATGTTTGGTGTAACTTAATGGCAATCCTGACTCCTGAGAAAGTCTGAGGATAGAAACATCCCTGAAAGGCTGTAGAACTACTGACAGATGGCAGAAACCTCTGTCTAACCATTTCCCAAAATATCTGCTGACAGTTGAAATACATGGACTTTTAACTTGTCCTGAGAGCTTTTTAAACCAACAGATTGAGACATTTTATGTAAAAAAAAAAAGCCAGTCTGTACCTTAACGGGGGCGGCCCGTGGTGGAGTGGAAACTTTCTTCCCCTCCTCTTCTTCCTCCAGTCCCATGTGCAGACGGGCGTAGCCGCCCTCCGCCATGGAGCGCTGCCGCAGCCGCCTCCTGCTGTGGTCATCGGGCCCCAGCTCCGGCCGGTCGCCGCAGCCCTCGTCCGTGGACGGATCCTCGTCCAGGGGCATGAACTCCTCGATTTCCACCACCACCTTCTTGACCTTGGCCGGGCGGCCTCGTTTGCGTTTGGGAGGCGGCGGCGTTTCTTCCTTCTGGGGTTCTGCGGGTCCCTCCTGAGCCGCGGCGGCCTCCGGCTCCGGCTGCGTTACCTCTGGCTGGCCCCCTTTGTCCGGGTCCACGTCTATGACAAAGGCTCCCCCTTCGGCCCCCTGCGGCTGCTCCATGGCCAAGCAGGCCGACACCACGGCGAGGGACTCGCTGGCACCCGCCTGCCCGCTGTGTGTGACCACGGTCATCGTCTCGCCCTCCAGCCCCTCGGCGCCGCCGGAGATGAGAGTGACGGTCTCTCCCGGTTCCACTGGCCCCCCGTGAGCGATGAGAGCCATGGTTTCCGTGGGCTCGGCTTCCTCGGGATCGACCGCCTCGCCGTCCGCAGTTTGCGCGACCACCGCCAGTGGCTGTTGGACGTACGCCTCCTTGGCGGGCTCGACGAAAGCCAGCGAGTCCCCCGACACGGCGACGCCGTCGTGCGTGAGCACCGTGCTGCTGCCGTCCTCCATGGTCACCACGTAGGCCTCGGCCTCCCCCTTGGAGCCCTCCTCCGGCGCCAGCTGGCCGGCCATGACGGTGTGCACGTCCCCCCGCTGGTACACCGTCAGCTTCTGCTCCTCCACCTGCTTGTGCACCGACTCGCACATCTGCAGCACCTCGGTCATCAGCAGGTGGCGGGCCAGGTTGGCGATGTCGGCCATGATGCAGAAATTGAAGGTGAGCGTGGAGGTGTACGCGAAGTCCAGCAGCGGGAGGAAGCTGGCCTTGGCGAAACCTGCGATGGAGAAAAGAACAGAGGCGGGGTTAGGGCATACCAACTCTGCTCGGCGTACGCGTTCACCAGCCGGAGGCTCACCGGAGAGGTCGACCACGGCTTCGTGTGTGGTGGCGGCCCCCTTCTCAAAGAACAGCTCGTTGAAGTACTCGCTGCAGGCGGCCAGAACGGCTTTGTGCGCCCGGTACTCCTCCCCTTCGATCAGCAGGGTGATGTCACAGAACTGGTTGCTGAGACGCTGCTTGTTGAGCTTATCCAACATGGTCTGGCTGTGTTTGGGCAAGAACTGGTTCACCTCCCCTTTGCTGTCAACCTAAACAGAACCAGAAATAGATAAATACTTTCTTTTTAATTCCAACCTTTCAGTTTTCCATGGCCATAAAAGCTGTGTCTCCTCTCTGGATGGCGAGCACGACACTTACAAAGACCACTTCGTGCTTGGCCATTCCTTTGGCCAACTTGGATCTCTGCAGGGCGGATGAGTCCGTGACAAATAAACCGTCGTCTCCATCATCTTCCTCTTCGTCTTCATCCTCCTCCTCGTTCACGCTGGCAGCGGCCCGGCGCCGCCCCTGCCGGGAGAACGGTCGGGGTCCAGAGCCGTCGTCTGTGCTTCGCCTGCTCTGACAATGGGAGCATTCTCTAATGTGGTCTTTGACGTTCTTAAGGATACCTGGAGGGGACAAATACAAAGCAATTATGCCGAATGGTATTTTCCAAACATTGTTCAATATATTAGATAACATAGCTGTGATGGGCATCTTTGCTCATAAATCAGTGTTATACAGTATACACAGTTTAAATGGGTTGCTTTAAATCTCTCTTTAGTAGATACTGCAAATAAATTAGTTTTTATTACCAGTAGTCTTTTTGGGAATTCATTATTTGCTGTAAAAACAAACTGTCAAAACTGTAAACTAGGTTTTCTTTAAATGTATGTTCATCCAGCTACCTGTTAAACAAATCCTCTGAAAACTGGAAAGGGGGAAGGACTAAAATTAGCAAAAATAAGCTGATGGTATTTAAATAAAGACGTTTAAACAACTTTAAAAAATAAATGAAAATAATTTATTAGGAACTATTTAATAGTATTTATTTTTTTAAATGGTGAAACCTAATTCATCATGGCCATGACAAATCCCCAAAATTTGGTGGTGCTGTGTGGCAAAAGAGATTCAATGCAATTCAATTATCAACATCATACGCTAGGTGGCAACAGCTTTCCGTATGGCTGTCACGAAGGTTTATATTCATTACGTTCGTCAACACTTTCAGAACCGGTCACCTCACAGTCCCCTACACCTAATTAACCAGTGGAAGTCACGCCCTTTAACTTACCTCTCCACCAGTATTTCTGAGAGATTACTTCCCAGGTGAGTTGCTGGTTAAGGTGCTCCCCTCCCACCATAATGTGCGCCTCGTTGATAAGTTCCTTCCTCCGGTTATCCTGTAGCACCACCTCCAGCTCCGTAAAATCATTTTGACCCTTCAGCCGACGCTGGTAAAACAAAGTTCCGTTCCGGACAACGTAGCAGGCAGCTGCTTTGCGGATCTTTCGCTTGGTGTTACCGGGCGTCCCTGGCGCGTAAGGCTCCCGTTCATCCGTCAGATAGCGTATGATAGCCAAGTAGCTTTCTTCACACGACATGTCTCGGCTAAGCTGCGTATTCCACGCTTAAATATGGATATATCTCGAAGAGGAGAACCCTCTTCGGTCCTTAAAAGAGATATATAAATTTTCTATGGTACCCAGACCGTGTTTATCGTGAAACAAAAGCATCAAAACAACATTTTAAATTGTTTGCTAAGGTGGAACTGCAGTTCGCAACCGTCGGGTAGACTTGCCTGAACAGACAAAATGGCTGCTGCACAACCGGATATTGCGTAGAGGGAACGAAAAACGCAATGTAAGGTATCAACCACAAGATGGCGCAACATACAACGTAATAAACTATCAGACAGGCACATTGTTAGGTCTTGTTCATTTTAAAATATATTTTTATCAATTAATCATAATGACCTTTACGATTCTCTACATCTTAACCTCAATAAAGTCAAACAAAAGGCTTTAATAATAACAATGTGACCCTCGGATATGTTTACCTTTTGTTTTGTTTACATTTCTTTCACATTTTAAGTTACATTGGTTTCAGTGACAGACAGCTGAAGACTTTCAACCAAGCTGTGATTACATTTTATGGGCTAAAATTTGCATACTGTCCACCTAACACTAACAATGTACACAATGGGAAACAGAAAGGTGCCTAACCTAAGACCTAACACAATACACTTGTCAAAGATAAGTTCTGTAGCACTCATTTTCATAGCCGCAATTTACTTTCTGTAAATGTATTCAGTCGTGTTTATATTTTATTACATGGACAACTGCTGTTGTATAATATGTACTGCCAATAAAGCTGGCTTTAATAATTGCTGTCTTCTTCAATCAATGAGAGCAAAGTGGCAGGGTTATGATTCACTTCCTGTTTGAAAGCTTTGCACAGTGAGATTTGTCAGAGTGAAAGTAGACACAGCACATTTGAAGCTTCTTTCATCACTTCTTAACTCATTGAACTAACATTAACATTAGTTTCCACCTCTGCCAAACAAATATACAGACAGGATTAATGTAGAGTTGCCAAGTTTTAAGCCAGTACGAATTTGTTCCCCAGTAAATACACAATTCCTCAATAAACCAAAGTGATGCTTGTGGTGATTATTCATTCGGGGAGTGTGGCAATTCATATTTAACATACATATACAAAGAATCATTATGTCATTGCCTGTCTGGATAAATTAAACATAATGTTCCTGTTAAATTTTTTCTGATAGGAGATAATTGAGCCATGCTGTTCACAGACCCTTATCGTAGCAACAAACACATTTTTTGGGGAATTAGCTCTGAATGATTTAGAGTTATTTGGAATCTCATCCAATGAAAATGATTAGGTTATGGTTGCATTACAGTGAGATCGATTTTAATTGGCTTAAATTGGACTGTATTTTTTAAGTGCTTTGAGATTGCACAAAAACACAAAACACACACATATATTGATTTGGGGGCTATTCTGGTCCTGCTTTTCCTAAATGCTTCAAGGTAGGCTTATTTCTGGTTGTTGAAGATTTCTATCCTCGATAGCATGTCAAAAAACGATCCTCTGTTCTGGAAATCTCAGGTGAAATGACTGGTTTTATTGTCGTTTCACAAATGGAAGGTGAGGAGTCACTGCTGTTTCTTGTTAAGACCCACTGGGTGAATGTGTGTGACAGTGAGCCAACGCCAGAAGATTTTTCTCACACAAACGATTTATCTCAGCACCTTGAAACTGTGTCCCATTTGCACCAAATTACACCGGCTGAGAAGGGAGGGAACAGTGTGTCATTTATTGCTCAACCCTGTGTTACATACCAAACCTCCCATCGAATGCTAGTCAGTGAAGTTTTCTGGTTGTGGATTCCAGTTTGCACCGACTGGCCAAAACGCCAGGCTTCGTTTCCTGCTCGAAATGAAAAGAAATATTGTCACTAATTGGCCTGGGTGAGGGCTGAGTCATTTTTTGGGGGTTAGACATACAGAAATTCACCGTTGCTTGGTAACAAAAACATAAAAATCTCTGAGATCTTGACTGAGAAATACTCAGTGAAATGCCGCTGCGTCTCACTGTTTAACTTCTCATGCAGAGTTGATTTGATTCCTTTTTTCTGCAAGACAAAGGTGTAACATTCACAATTTGCAGAAACCCCAACACAGATTTCTTACTGTTCACATGAACGCTGGGAAATATATCATTTGTATCCTGTAAAGGTCGTTTCTATCAAACAGTAACTAGTGGGTTGGCATCATTAGACCAACAGAAATGAAACAGTTCAAATAAGAAAAAGTATGACATGATACCAAGTAATGTGTACAGTATTAATGATGCTTCCTTGTTTAGTTTTTCTATATCAAAGCCGTCTCTTATGGGCCTGGGCAAAGCTGGGTGGAAACCCGTTTGAACTGGAGGAAGACCAGACCTGTTCTGACAATGTGGAAGATAATCTGTGACAGCTTTACACACACACACACACACACACACACACACACACACACACACACACATCTGACACGTGCTTTGTTTATTTCCTGCATTTCATCAAGTCATTACCTCATAACATGATAGTTATAAGCACTTTGTACCACTTTCACTTTAGCGAGTTGTTTATACCACCATTCATTTTCCACTCTGTCAAAGCACTGTCTGGTTTTACAACATCCTTGACTTAAAACTACTAAAATGTTTTTTTATTTCGATCTTTTTTCTTGTTTTAAATTGTAAAGGGGCATTTTTTCAACTTAAGAATGTCTTATAGTTGATTATTTTAATCAATTACGTTATATATTCTTTCCTATACCAGTTGTCTTAGACCATTTTGGAAATCATAACGATGTTTAGGAAAGTTAGAAGGCAAGATTCAGAAGGACTTAGGAAAAGACAAAAGCTTTGATCTTTATTGTGTCAATTCAATGGAAGCTCAATAACATTAATGCACTGAAAACTGGAGTTTGTTTTTTTTTAAACCACATTCGATCAGGAGCGAGCACCTTGTAGTTTTCTGTGTTACCGTACATTAGATTATTTAACTTCATTATCTGGCATCAGTTCCACACATGTTTACACTTTGTGGTTTGGTATCCAGAAAAGGGCTGGTGAAGCTTGCTTTGGATTTGGACGCAAATATAGTTTAGTCAGTAACAGAGCTAAGATCCAACTCAGTCACATAGAGAATTTATTTTTCAGATGGAAATATATTATCAGGATTTGAGGCGCAGAGCATCTTTATAGTATTTCAGACATCCATCGCTGTCAGGTGGAGAACGTGTGAATCAGAGTAGCATTATTAGAAAAAGCAGCGAGTAGGAGAGAAATAAACCTCCAAAGGACTAACGCCAGGCAAAATGCATGGTAAAATGTGATAATGTCATAAATATGCTAATCAGAGCAGCATGTGTCAGTTTATTCCTGCTTTTCTCCTCTGCACGTCATGGTGGCCGTTCAGCTGTTTTCACTCGTCAACGCCATCATCCTTCACTGAATCAGCTCGTGTTGAAACAACACACAAGTTCTCTTTATTCTTTACCCTTGAAATCAGAGCATAAACATAGCCCTTAGCATTATAGAGGAGAGATATAGCGCTGAACTATGCTCCTGCTTAGCATTTGGAATCATTTCTCACTCTACTAAAGTACACTAGTCTTGATTGTATGCTGTTATTAAGATGTAATGAAGACATAATTTGGTCTGTCTTTAAATAAAAAGTTTTTTATGTGAACTCTTAACTTGTAACATCCCAAAATTCCAGTTGGAATGTATTTCTTCAGATAAGATTGTGCAATTTTAAGAAAAAAACTAAACAGTTTCAACATTATACAGGTCTTGTCTTCAAAAAACTCTATATATCAAAGTACTCCAGTGGTCCGAAGCAATAAGGCAACCGCAACATGGTGCTAAGTTGCTGATTCAGCCCAAAAATGTCATTACCACAGAGCAATTTACTCAATTCTTGTCAACAATATACTTTTTGTTTCATGCGAGTGGAGGCTTGTGTGACTTAAGATGATATTTTACAAAAATACTTGTGGAAAAGAAAAACCTCACAGCCATTAAAAAAGTTTGTGACTGTCACAAAAGTGTCAGAAAATCTTCTAATCTACTGCTGTGTGTTCTTGGCCTTGTTTAAACACAAAAAAAAAAAAAAAAAAAGGAGAGGAGAGGGAAACTTTCATTTTGTATCCATTTCTTTTTTTGTGAAACATAGAAAGAAAAAGCTTAAGTGGTAGAGTTAGACACATCACTGCCCTTGAAACCCAAAGTTTCAATAAAAAATATATTTTCTTAAGTTTCTGCTCTTAAGTTTAGACTTCTGAAACCACACGGCTTGTTTTAAACTATGAAATGGGCTTCTTTCACAGACAAGAAAAGGTCATACTTATGCATACTCCGCAATTAACATAGTCTTCCCGTCTCGGTTTTTATTAGCTGTAAATAATCTTAGCTTATCTCTTAAATCCTGAATGTGAATGGTATTTTGTGCTTTTGGGAGCTGTGATGCTTCTTGACTGAAGGCGGTCAGAATGGGCTCCACCCGCAACCTGGAACAGGATTTTCAGGTGCAGAAAGTGAATGGATGGTTTGTTATTCAAACCACGGAAATGCAGAAACTGCAAAGAAGAAGAAAAGATTTGGAAAAGGATAAAATGCACCAATCAGCCCCGACAAGCTGGGAAAGTGAAAGTGAGCAACATTGCTCATCTCGATACAGTGTTGTCTTCTGTGACAAAAAAACCTGTGTGCTGGCGTTCAAATTTGTTTTACTTTACAACATTTAACACCTTCACACCCACTCTATTGGCACCACTGTTCCTTTAGAGTAGCAGCCTCCCCCAGCAGGAAGCCTTTTAAAAAAAATTCAACAGACTGGTTCAAAAGACATGAATAAAAACTTCTTAGTTTTCACCTAAATCGTCAAATTCAAAATATACAAATCTAATACTGTTTGTGGGAATTAAATGTATCGCAACCCCCATTGTCCAAATCATCATTTTCTATAATCTGCGCAACTAAAACTTTAACAAAGCTACATTCCCCTTATTTTCAGGTATTTTTTAAGCTTATTTCAACTGGCTGCCTTAAATATTTTTTTGAAAGATTGAGTATTAATCAGTTTATCTTATTCTCTGCCAGAAAACATATAAGCTAACGAAAAATCTTGGCTTTCTAAGGGACATCCTCCATGTATGCTGGCAAAAAAATAAATAAAGAATATAATCCATTTGCTGTCCTTGAGGTCTACACCTGGTGCCTGTT